CGGCTATGGGATTTGTTTGTCGAACATCACTGAGCAATTTTGTCGCTTTGGTTGTGTTTCAGTTTTCAGCAACTTAGGGTAACCTAAAGTAACTGAATTTCTCAGGGGATTCTCTGTTTGACGTGCAAAAATGAACTATATTACAAAGTCGATATTCGATATGAAACATCTGATAGCCTAGTATGCTCGCCACACTGTTTGAGTTGTTTCCAAATGGCCATTAGGTTCCTCCTATTGGAATTCATAGAATGAATGTTATACTCACGTTATTGCAGCCTCCGAGCAGACATTTAAACAATGAACGTTACATAGTTTCTAGGTTAGTTGTGTTTAGCACACTCCCAAAGCAGAATTCAAACAGCATTACATGACAGGATTTATTGTCGAAAAGACAATAAATAACTTTGTCAGGTTTATTGGAAGCTTTTAACTAAATTTTACCATTTTCATGTATACAACTTAACAGTATAAAAATGAATTCAACTTCAATAGCAATACAGTCAGGTTATATAGACTGACAATGTTGTATTGCCAAAGCATATATCAATGATAAATATTTATTGTTTTCTGTATAGTCCTGCATGGAGTGTGGGGAAGACTATTGTGCAGGTTGTTTTGCACAGTTTCACTTGAAAGGTGCATTAAGAAAACACAGATCAGTGCCATTTCAGGTGAGGGTGCCAGTAATTGTACTTGTGAGTAGTGAATGAATGTCATTATTTTTTTCAAAAATGTCCATGATCTTTTTTATTAATATCAACAATGACATACCGTTGTTGTGAACTCAGGCATCTTTATGGTGCAATTTATTTTAAAATATCGTGAAAAAAAGTTGTCTTGGTATACCTGCTTCTATACTTCTATGTTATTGAAACCATGACAAAAATGTCATTCACCCAGTATAACAAATTCTCTTCTTTCTTGCAGGCTAACCGCAACAAAGGATCTTATGAGAGGTGAGTTAGACTCCTCACAGGTGTTACCTACTAGTAGTTTAGTGGTGGATTCTTTGCTTGATTGATAATGAACATGCCTATTGGCTGACCCAATCGTTGCTGTAAAAATATGTTGTACACAGTCTTATTGGGCAAATAACATACAGTTCCTGTAATTTTTTTTATTTTTAATTTTCAGTTTATCTTCAACCAAAACATCAAACACAATCCTGACCACAAGAGGTGATAATATTAATTCGTCCAATGATCGAGATAGTTTATCAATTTACAAAAGTGAGGTACGTATTGTATATGTGAATCTACCAAGTGTCAGTTATGCACAATACATATATTATTTTTTACCCTTCAGTGTCTTGTTATATGTAGTATTTACTGAAAAAGGATGGACCTGCGTCCTTTATTGGCTAGGCCCCTGAGTGGGAGCACTAGTCTATGATTCAGAACTTGATCGTTTGGTTTGACCTTGGGTTACAGTGTAATCACACAAACCAATCACAGTCTGAGAGGCCTTTGCATTTAATAATTGTGATTCACTTCTTAGAGTCAAGATAATTCTGGTGCTAATAACAGTGACAGTTCCCTATTGGATGGAGCTTACGATGAGTCAGAAAGTGCTGCTGGGTTTGCAGCAGCTCTCGCTGAATGGAGGCAAAAAAAGAAGGAATCTGGTCAAGGAGAATCTACAACTGTAAATCCAGTACAGCATAGAGCAAAACCCAATGGTAATTATTTAGTATGATAGTCATCTAAATTTAGCAAGGCGATGGTATGTTTTGGCAGATTCATTTGATCTTTTCCTATCAGTGTTTGAACGGTGTGTCCATAGCCTTGTTATGTTTATTAGGAGCAAAGTAATTTTCTATTTACAGAATAAATAATTTTGGTTGTGCATTCAAAACAAACACTAACACCCACTACATCTCCCCTACTCCTTACCTAGAAGCACTAGAAGAACATAAGACTCATTATAAAATTGTAATAATAGTGATCGTAACATAGTCATAATCATATTGAGTGTCATTGCCATGTTTATTTTAACAGCTTTGAATCGATTGCATCAGTACACCCATTAAATTCCAAAGTAATTATTTTTCTTCTGTTTCTACACGGTCACAGTCACAGAAGCATCAAGTGGCACCAATACCGAAATAAGAATCGAAAGTCCAGATATTGAGTTCAAAGATCATTCTCTAAGTTACGCCGACAAGCTACTGCTAAAGAAGCACAGAAGAACAGAGCTCGAAGCCGATGATTACACCTAGGCTTAGTAGCACCACGCCGTCAACATTGTTTGTCAATAGTGTTAGTCCTCGCATCACGGAGTATAGCGATGATCTATCAGGTAAGTTAGAAACAAAATAACTAAATAAATGTCTTATTCAATCAATGTTAGAGAAGGTATGCATTTATTGTAATATTACTGGATGATGTGACCTATTTTGACCATAGACACACCTCTATCATTTGTGTGAGTACATAAATATAGCCAATATGGTACATGAACTTTTCAAGTATACAGCTTTTAGTCTTATCCCATAGTATGCAAGAAGCTAAGACAAGATGTGTTAATGTCTGCTGTTGAGAATAATATTATTC